TCGAAAAAGTAGGATGCCATGAAGGACCGAATTTGACATCTACTGCGGCTGACCATATGAAGCCATAGTCAAATTGATTTGATGTTTGTATCAGCTCAAAACCTAAGGACCTGATACTCTTTTTCTTTTTTTTTTTTTTTTTTTTTCTTTTTTTTTCAATTCTCTTTGCAGGTAGATGATAGTGATGTCCACTCAACAGACATCGAGGAGGATGCCTCTTCAGGCTGGCCGAAGCTGTGGAGATCATCGACGACCGATGCTGACTTAGCGAATTACCAGCAATGACGTCATTCCAGCACAGCGCAGTGCGGAGCATTCCAGACAGCGTCAGATAGCGTCCAGACGTGGTCGAGAGTAGATGTGAGCAGACGGCTCGCAACTCTTCAAGAGTTGAAGGAGACAGACGGTCTTCCTTGATTATTGAGTGCTCTTTGGGTTAACCAAGCCGTACATATTATTTAAAGCTAGCCGAGGAAGCAAAATTATAATGTAATCTATCAACGCCTGTGGAACTAATAGTGTCTGTTCATCATTATATGAATCCTGTGGACTAATAATTCATTCCTGCAACATTAATTTTTACTTAACCTTTATTACTTTTATCTATTTCTTATTAGTAAAATAAAAGCATTTAAAAATGCAATATTCGTGCTCTACTGTTTTGAAAGAAAAACCTACATATATATATATATATATATATATATATATAATATTTCCAGGAACATAGAAGAGTAATCAGCTTGCAGTCATCGTGGCTGGGAGTGAAGGTTACAGATGAAGATAATAAAACGTGAACTTGAGAATTTTCAGTCTTTATTTCCCCGCATATAAAATCAATCTCCATAGATGTTTATCCAATGATAATGAAATCTGAGACATTTCTATGATTCATTCATGATGAAATAAAATAAATTGCTACTTACTCTAAAGATTAATATTTACGATGCAGGCAGTTTAGACGGGGAAGCAAAGTGAAGAGTTATTAGCCAGGAAAAGAAGTGACACAGTTTATTTCCAAGCGGTATTTATACAAAGCAGATGCAGAGAGTAAGCTAAACTATGATTGGTTAGTTTGAAGTTGTTATATAATCATCGAAGCTTCTCGAATTTGGGATAACAGGTGACTTTTGAGGAAGAGCACCAAATTTAGAATGTTAAATTTGAGGTTGCCAATTATTTTTCAAATACAGCTACCGTATCTTGTTATATCTTACATACATATATATATATATATGTTATTGTTACGTATGGCTTTATTGGAATAATCAATCCATACATATAAAACAGCTCAAGTATCACCTAAGAACAATGATATGAAATAAAAAGAAAACATTTAAAGTAAGAATCGGAACATTTTTCAAGTGTCTTGAATGTTAGCCCAAGATTTGCCTGTTGGTTTTGCTGCCTGATGAGATTTAAGAGTAACCATTAATTTCTCAAAAATATGCTTTTTAAGTGAGACTGGAAGAAGTGGTTTGCTGTCTTGTGACTCAAATGTTTCTCTCTTGGCTAGTGAATCTGCCTTTTTGTTACCATTGATTCCTACATTGAAGGGATTCATTGAAAAACAATTGTTTAGTTGTATTCATAAAAAAGTTCAAGGTTTGTCTTATTTCTGAAATAATCTGGGAATCTGTAGCATGATTAGTAACTACAGCCTCGATGGCTGCTTTGGAATCAACTAGAATAACTGCTTTAAAGAAACATCCGATCATAATCCTGAGATTTTCCAGAGCTAGTGAGATTGCAAAGATCTTTGCATCAAAACTCGACATGAAGTGTCCACAGGAGAACATTGGGAAAAGAGTTTACTGTATACATCAGCCCAGTATTGCCTTATATTTTGGTGCCACCATTGTATACCAGTCCATTCAAGTTCAAGATATTGTTCATGTAACATACACAATGTGTTTGCTTTTGTATTAAATTATTGTTAACTAAAATATTTTAATTTCTGAAATTAATGCTTTTAATTATTGTATATGTGGCCATGATAAAAGTGTAGCCTCAGCAGTTGCTTGCTCGTGTCACCATCTATTAACACCAGTAAGAATTGCAGTATCACATGAGAGGAACCCGAACCTGGTTAACGCTCATAAATATCATTAATCGTAACACATGTACTCATAATAAATATATCTCGTTATATACCTCAGAAATATATCGTGTTATATAATTAAATATATCTCACAGATATATCTCTAATGAAATTCGAGGAAATAAGTTTAAAGGAAAGGCATGAAAAAATTTGTATAATTTAATATTCCGTACAAGGAAGTCATGCAGTGTACACAACAGATTTTTTTCATTAATGCATAAGAAGAAAAAAAGTCCATTGTTGATATTTTAAAAAAATTTTAACAATGTGCATAAACCACATTCGCATTATTATCGCTTATAATAAATACGCCAAATTTGAAAATGTGACAAAATGTAAATTGACGCAAATCTTAGGAAATTTTGAATAAAAAACTCTAATTTTATGAAGGTAAGCTTAGAAATACACCTACTTTAAAAAGATGGCAAAACTTTAAAAGGATATAATTCAAAATTTTTTTCAAAAAATTTATAAAAATTATTTAAAATTACAAATTTTAAAAATAAATCACAAAAAGTAGGCAAAATTTATTTGGAATGAACCTAAATTTTGAAATATGAAAGGAAGAATCAAATAAGTTTAATAAAAAAAAGAGATATTAATAAATATATCAAATTCAATGAACATTGAAAAGCTAAAATTTTGAGAGCTAATGTTTAAAAAACAACTCATGTGATTTTCACAAAACTTTGCAGTTTGGCATAATTTGAGTCATAGAATTGAAATCTGGAAAAAAGTTGGCATGTCATTTCAGAAAAAGTCTGATTTTGGGTAAAAATACCCATATTAGAACAATACAATATATAAATCTAATACACATCCTATGTCATGCTTTCGAGACATGAAAAACGGAAGTTGAATTTTTTCAGTCGGCCCAGTAGAATAGGAGATATGGAACTGTTCCCCCCTTTTTTGTGTGCAGTGTACATGGCTAGATATCCAAATTTAGATTCTTGACCTCAATTACATCTGATCAGGGTAAAAATTTTGAATTTCATCTGTTTAAAGAATTTATCTGCAGGTTTGGGTGCAATAGGATTTAAAATTCTGCATATCACCCTTAGTCAAATGGAATTCTTGAATGCTTCAATTAACACCTTAAAACAGTCCTTAAAGCATATAATACAACATAATGGACAAAACATCTTTCACTTGTTATCTTAGGCATACATTCAGCCATTAAGGAGGATGTCAAAGCAACTTTTCAACTTGTTTATAGCACAACATTAAAATTACCTTCTGATCTAGTAACCAGTGATGGCACATGCACCAGATCTTAAACTCTATATATGTCAACAACTTAGGTTTTTATATCTTATTTCTACTGTCTACACATTGGTCCTCAAATTTTCATCAATCCTTCATTAAAAACTTGTTCTGATTTATTTTTCAGATCTGACAAAGTTAATCCTCTACTGACACCACCTTATACTAGACCTTATTTAGTCATTGCCAGAAATGATAATGATTTTATTATTAATGGAAAACATACTACAGTTTCAATTGATTGCATAAAACCTGCTTACCTCCTGCCAGATGACATTACTCATCACCTCTTCCATTTTGAGCTCCCTTCTCACAATACTTTAATCAAACATCTACTATTAAGAATGGGTTTAAGGTTCGATTTTCCAAGCAATTAGTCACAGACTACTTCAGAATGAACTTGCATTATAGCTAACATTTCGTATTACACACGTTTCTACTGCATCTATGACCATGTATCTATCTTCATAACATTATTCAGCTTCAGCTCTTTTTTCTGTATTTCACTGACTTTGCCTTATATCACCATTTTCTGTATTTATTGTAAATATTTATTATCATTTGTAATCATGACTTCGTCTCTGCAGCATACTCTGTAGCATTTCATTCATGCAAATGGCACGTCAGCCAATCAGATGCATCGCATCAGTTAGTCAGCAAGAGATGTAGATCATGTGTATGTTTTTACGTCACAAACTTCTCTCTTCCCTCAGAGTCTTTCTGGTGGTTCCACTGGGGAAGAAAGGCTGCTACAATGCGCCTGGCACAAGTTACTTTTATGTATGTGAAATGAATTATATTTGTATATTTATTGAAGCAGTTTTTAGTTCAAATTCCAATTGCAGACTCTTCACTGAACACAATAATGACTAATCTCCCAGCTCCTCATACATATTCACAGTGAGATTGAGATCCGGCAAGCATGACTGCTACAAACTCAGTGGAATGCTTCACTATGCTAATTATGAGCAATGGGATATGAGATTATCATGTATGCAGACAACATCATTATTCAGTAAGAAGGTACTGAGAAATAAGAGTAAAAAATCAAATGTAATTTCACACAATATAAACCCACTGGAGAATTCTCCAAAGATATACAAAATTATGAACTATATGATACCTTCCACTAGCTACTCACTGGACACATTTTTGTTTTTCTTAGCTGCATGTGCGTAATAATATGTCATTTCAAAGAATATACATCTAGCAAGAAATAATGGCTGGAACATTCATTCATGATAGTTTAAGGTGTGAGCAATAAGCAGGACATTAAAAATATTTGACCTAAACACATACAATTGATATAACAGATAATATGCAAATTATTTAGCCATTATTTATCTAAGAATATTAATAATTTAGAAGAACAGTATAAGTTTTTCTCTCATTTGTTATTGTAAGGTTTCATGATAATATGAATAAAAAATAAGGATAAATTTTTTGGGGCTGAAATTACAAAAAAAAAAAAAAAAAAAAAAAAAAAAAAAAAAACATGAAAACAAAAAATGATGACTTTGTACCCTAATTTCTCATGTTCACATTTGCTTATAAATAAGTATACATGCAATAAATATAAATACATGGAAAATTTAGAAATTAAAGTAAAATTTAGTTTCTTATAAAGAATATTTACCTTTCTGGTTAAGGAGCCTTCAAACCACTTATCACTGAAATTTTTATACAAAGCATCTAGCTGAGACTGCAGGTAAGGGCAAACTACAGCTAAAATTACCCATACAATAACTTTCTGCTTTGATACATCAAGAATTCTGGGATCAGGTACTCTTTTTAATCCATAGAATGTTTCTGTAAATAATCCACCTAAAAAAAAAGTTTAATATGGATTTAGAAGGAGGCTATACAATCCTATTTATATATAATTAATTATACCTGCATATAACATATTGAACACTGTTTTTCAGTAAAAACTAAAGCCTGAGTTTCCTAATTATTTATAAATATGCAACAAACATATATTACAATTTAAACAGTACTACTGGTTATTACTTACTACAACAGTATCTTATACATTTATTACTCCGAAGTAGTATTAAAAATTTTATCACAAAGCAGCATTGACAATCTTCTTTACAGTTAGAGCATGCAAATCAGTTATAATTGCAACTTTTTCTTTTATTTAAACGAACTAACAGGAACCATTTAGTGATTTGAACAGTTTTAAAGGCTAGGAAATATGATATCACATTCAGCTTTAAACAATGCTTTGATTACTTTACTATCTATAATTTTTTTAACACTTTAAAGAGAGACATTATTGCTTTCACTAAACAAATTTTACCTAACAAAATAAAAATTGTTATAACTTCACTTGCAGGAATTGTTTGTTACAAGGCCTGTTTATAAATAATTCAGTAGAAAACCTATACAGCTACATCATGAATTTTGAGTTCTTTTCTTTATTAAACAAGTACTAAAGTATATTTAAGGCATTAATTTATGGCAGAATAACATCAAAGTACAATTCTTTGGCACTGTTATTTTGAATCACATTTTAAAAACATGGTTTTATTTTCTGCATTTTCAATTGCTAAAGATTAATTCTTAAATCAAAAGCCCTGTTAATCAAATAACTGTTGATTTAAAACAGTTCAGGCATTAAAATTGATATTTGAACATTAAGTTGACACAGCATTTTTAAAACTTTTTGATACACTTTATTTTATTTTAATAAACGACTGCCTATTTTGGTACACACTGTAGAGACATTAGGGTTTTTGGAAGCAGATGATGTGAAAAATGAGCAATGCCCTCGTTGGGACTTGAACACAGACCAGGCCCACACTGACAATAGGTGGAAGATCATGCGGCGCACGATGGCAACAAGTCAAAAAGGCATTGTTCAACCATTAACACAAGCAGTTCGTCTCGCTGTCTGCCTGAACAGGAAAACTCTTGTCTTATTTGAACGCTTCTCCGGGGGTTGACTCAGGTAAAACCTGAGAAGCTACTAATTAGGATCTCTACCTAGGCAGTCTCGGCAACGAGTGTTTAAAATCAGTCTCCACAGGACTGGAGTCATCACTGCCGATAATATTTTCTGGTTCGGCAGGGACCACATGGTACTGTCTTATCCATTCCGTTGGTTGTGGTGGAGCTATATAGTCAGATATTCATGGTTGTCTCAGGCGAAACAGCCTCGTCGATGGAATTGGCGAATTCAGCTAGACTTTAAACTGCTTGAAGTTTCCAGTGTGTGCTTGAAGCCTCAAAACTGCATATTCATTTCCTTCCTTGGTTTTTCACTGGGGTAGCCCTAAAACCGAGATCTGTATAGCATGACATAGTGTTAGCAGGCTGGATTGGTGGCCCGGTCTTTCTCACAGTATTTAAGTCACTTTGTTCTGCTGTCAAGGTTGAGGCCCTTGTTGATGGCAGATGTTTTTACCATCCCTTAAGAATGGGGACCTGGAATGTAAGTTTCTGAGTATTCCTATCGACTCAGTCTTAGCTCGTTGGCTCAACCAATAGGTTTGCGGAGTCTTGGATCGTCTCTAGGGGTTGGGGCATTTAACTGTGTTAAGGCAGCCTTGACCTTGCCAGGTCTGAGTACCCCTTCCTCATACCACACTGTTTTACTTGACCGAAAGTTATAACCAGGACAAGAGTTCGTCTTGGTGTTCTCTTCTGTCTTATTTGAATGTGGAAATACTTGATGCCAATGCATATGTAAGGATAGACGCATTCGACAAATTGCTTAATCCTTATTTTTTGTCTACTGTTGCAATAGTTGTAATTTGTCCACAATTTATCTTTTTTGTGATTACTTGTTGTAATTGTTTTTCTACGAGGGCCATCCAGGAAGTAGATTACGTTTCCGTCTGTGTCCGCTAGGGGCGGGGCTAGCGCGGCCATCTTGGGGTCAGAGCGTTGCGCAGCTCAGTCTGCATCTAGCCGTGCTAGTGAGAGGTTCGTGCTGTGCTCCGTTCAGATACTGTGACGGTTTGAAATGTCTGCGTTAATTGAAAATCCCGCGAGCTGCGAGGTGCGCTCAGTAATAAGGTTTCTGACTGCAAAAAACTGTAAACCGATAGAAATCTATCGGCAGCTTCGTGAAGTGTATGGGGACAACATTATCACTGAAGGTGGAGTGCGTCAGTGGGTCATAAGATTTCAAAATGGCCGAACCAATGTTCACGACGAAGATCGAAGTGGGAGACCCAGCATAGTGACCGCCGAACTTCTCGAAAAAGTCGATGCTAAAGTCCGTGAAAATCGAAATTTCACAATAACGGAACTTTCTTTGAGTTTTCCACAAATTTCGCGAAGTTTGTTGCACGAAATCATCAGCGAAAAGCTTGGTTACCACAAGTTTTGTGCAAGATGGATTCCAAAAATCTTGACAGAGGACCACAAAAATCAGCGAATGGCTGCAGCGTTGAACTTTTTGGACGCTTACCATAAGGATGGTGACTCTTTACTCGATCGCATCGTTACTGGTGACGACGAAACATGGGTGAAACATGTGAACTGTGAAACGAAATTGCAATCAATGCAGTGGGGGCACACAAGTTCTCCCCAAAAACCCAAGAAATGCATGCAAACAATGTCGGCAAGGAAGATGATGGCGACTGTTTTTTGGGACAGAAAAGGTGTAATTTTGGTGGACTTCCTGGAAAGAGGCACTACAATAAACTCTCAAAGGTATTGCCAAACTCTCCAAAAACTCAGAAGAGCAATTCAAAACAAGCGCGCAGAGGAATGTTGAGCTCTAAGATCTTGTTGATTCACGACAACGCCCGGCCCCACACGGCAAATGTCACTCGTAAAGTTCTTGAATCTTTTAAGTGGGAGTTGTTTCCTCATCCGCCGTACAGTCCCGACCTGGCACCGAGCGACTTCCACCTATTCCCAGCAATGAAGAAGTGGCTGGCTATGCAGCGTTTTGATGACGACGCACAGCTGCAAGAAGAGGTAACGAAGTGGTTGAAGGCGCAGGCGGCCGAATTTTTCGACGAAGGAATTTCCAAGCTCGTACATCGCTACGATAAATGCCTTAATTTGTATGGTGACTATGTAGAAAAGTAGTATTTGAGTGTGGCTTTCATCTGTATATAATAAAATTTGTTTCCTATACTTTGTTTATTTTTTTATTCCAAAACGTAATCTACTTTCTGGATAGCCCTCGTACATAAAAAAAGGTAAGTGCAGTTTCATATTTGTTAAACTTAGTTTAACTTTTTAATCTGGAAAAGCAATGATTTGAACATAATTACTCGAAAACTGTTTACATCTCATGTTTTAACCATTGTTGTATTCTTGGCCGCATAAATTGCTAATATCTGAACCATTTTCCTCTTAAGGTTTTTAATCAGAATGTAGTTCGTCCTCCACCGGTCGTATCTGTTGTAATACAAAATACTAAAAACCTTTCTTCAATACTCATGTCTGTATTTTCTAAATTAAGATACCTCATACAAATTGATATCTGCTCTTGATGGCTAGCATTAGGAGTAGAATCAAGTAAAATAGAAAAATTCTTTACCTGTTTGACTTTGTTTAAAAAAAAAATGCTTTATATTATATTTATTTATATTTAAAATAATTTTCTTTTATATTATCCTCTAATAAGCTTAATGTTTTATTTTGAATTTTATTTCCAATGTAATGAAGCATATTTTTTTAGTTTGAATTTTATTAATATAATATATACAGACATTGATAATGTCAAATTTTGTGATCATTTCTGAACACTTTAGGAAATTATTATATCTTTCGAATAATTTGTTACTGGAACTATGGAAGGCTAAGTTTTATTTCACTAAAAACTGAATGACGTAGATAATTCTTTCAATAACATTCAATAATGGCAACGCTTAATCTCTTTTTTAATTAAATTTAAAATTCCGAATTAACAAGCTTACTCTTTTGGAATCGTTCTAAGAAATTGGATAACTCTTTCGTTGTTTGGCCAGTTTCGACAAAAGACATCTAAAAAAAAAAAAAAAAAAAAAAAAAAAAAAAAAAAAAAAAAAATATATATATATATATATATAAATAAATAAATTAAAAAAATAAATAAAAAAAAAAAAAAAAAATTTCCTCTATTTTTGTCTTTTGGGAAACTGAAACTCGAAACCAAGTTTTGGTAATATCCAGAACAATTTTCTATTACCTTTTTCATGTAGAACAAATATAACATCAAGCAATCACCAAAAAAAAAAAAAAAAAAAAAAAAAAAAAAAAAAAAAATCACAGAAAAGATAAATGTTGCACAAATTACTATGATTGCAACAGTAGACACAAAATAAGGACTAAGCAATTTGTCAAACGCATCTACGGCTCACCCCGTAACCTTGCATACGTATTGGCACCACATATTTTCGTTCACATATATTTACAAGATCAGCTCAACTTATGTCAGAAACTGCAAAAGCATTAATTGATAAAAATCAAAGTAATATACATAGTATAGATCTTATGCATGAATTGCAGTTTTGCAAAATTTTAGAGGAAATATAGCACCACCAGTTGAAACTCTAAGCTATAGCGTTGTCAACAACATAGCGGTGTACAGAAAAGAATTTTGGATATATCCCTAGATATCAGCCCTAAAGCACTTTTTGTGCCCTTTTGTAATCACAGTTTGAACCTTGTTGTAAACTATGTTGAGAACAATTTATTCAATATAAACATATTAGATATGCATATTACTTCGTTTTGAATTTTAAAATAATAAGTAGTGTTCAGCAATATATTTGGTATCCAGTGCGTTTAGTATATTATTTCGCTTTGCTTGCAGCGTTACTTTTTTATAACATGTTGCTGCTGACTAATGCTCACTTGTCTGACCTATAGTCAGC